CCCCAAAACCCCAAAACCCCAAAACCCCAAAACCCCAAAACCCCGACAGTTAAACTTAAAATTGAAATTCTGAATTAAGAATTCTTAATTTCTTGCTCAATTTTCAACTTTTCCTCCAACATGTCTACTAATTTCTTTTCAGTTGACAAAGAGAGATGATGTTTATGTGCAAAATCATTTGCTAGTTCAGGAAGATCATCTCCATTGTGGATCAATATTTGATCTTTGAGGTTTTCTCCAAAATTAACATCAACGCTTAACAGAGGCTTTCCTCTTCCAACAGGCTTTCCTTCCCGATTAGTCTTATATTTTCACCACGAAGGTTGCTTAACAATATCATCCATTGTATCAGAGGTTCCTTGAGACATCTTTCTATAGTGCTTCTTTATTCTTGTTTTTGACAATTTATTTATAAGTGTTCTTGAAATTTTGAGTGGATCTCCTTGCATTCTTTAGCTTTGAACGCTCCCTAGAATTTAATGGCTCTTCATACCCGCTTTTGTTTCTAATATCAACTAATTTCGCATCTTTATCTCCAAACTGCTGTCTTATTTTGGAAGCTATGGCTGCTGACTTTTTGCTGATTTCTGGTTTCGACCTAGAATACAATTACTGCTAAATTACCTTATATTATCATCATATGATTCTCTTCTTTTATATTTATTCTGGCTCCTTAGCTTGTTAAAATCAGATCGATTTCTAGCAAAAGGAAGAAATCTATTATGAATTCTGGTCACTTCTTTGTTTGAAAGAGAAGAAAGTCTTTTTATTGGAGCCTCTGGGATATCTCAGATACTAAAGTCGTCATCCAATGTGCTCTCTACAACTGTAGTGATTTTATTTAATACTCTTATGGTGCTAGAAATTGGTTATAAAACTTACTAGAGAGTACAAACTTAGAAGTTTCTGATTCTTTTCTATTTGCTCGAAGCTAAAACCTTCAATAGCTAGGGTGTATTGAAGTAAGGTATGTCTATCAACAGTTTGGCTATTTCTGATTAACAATCTCTTCCCAAAAGTGCATGAACAGTTCTTTATCAGAATTAATTTCATATAGTGAATATCTATCTCTATGTCTAATGAATCCTAGTATTTGCATTGTTTGGAAAGCTTCTTTTATTTCGAATCTGTCTTGATTCCCTTCTGGATGGTACTCAAGAGAGGCTTCATTAAAGTCTTTAAGAAACTGCCCTATCAAATATTGGGATGACTTATCATTCTTGAAAGTGTGCTTTGGGGGAATTTTGAACTTAAGGTTCTCTTTACACTTATTTCCGAACAATAGCATCATTATACAGTCTTTGGCTTGTTTTTAAAGGAGTCCTATTGTTTCACGGACTTTTACTGATGCTTCTTGAATTACTCATATTTTCAGGGTTTCTATTTTTCGAATGTGGATTTCTTTTGGTTTGGTAGTTTATAGAGCTCGGAGATATCATGCCAAGCTGAGTTTTAGTTACTCTTGATGTTTTTAACCTGCTGTGGTTAGAACTTCTTCTTCCATTATTGGAACTTGTTCTTGAATGACTCATATTTGAGTGCTGCATTCCTTGATAAAAATTAGTGAGAATAGTTTTTCTCAATTTTCTTTCATTACTGTCATCATACAATCTATCGTGAACTTTAGAGTTGTTTTGAAAACCCGTATCATATTTACATCCAGTTGAACTAAACTCTAGAATCTCATTAACTGACATGGTTCCCATATCGCAGCTTTTCTTTGCATTAAGTATTCTTCTTGATCCATTAGATACCAGTCAAGGTTTGTTCTTCTTCTGTATATTTGCAAGTTGCTTTTCTTTGTAAATTAGCTTTTTATAGATCTTGGAATACTTGTTCTCCACAAAATTTATTTGTTTATAGTAAAAATCTAGTTATTATTGGCGCATGAATTACCTTTCTGCTTCTTTTTCAATTCTGATTGGTTTAAGACTTTCTTCACTGGGGCTTCATCTGTGGAGCTATTCCTCTCATAATTATTATTAACTAAATTCTTCAAAGAAAATATCTTACCAATACAGCGAGTACATGAAGAAGTGAGCATATTATTCTTGCTGGAATTGATCAAATCAGTCTGTAGGTCTTGGATATAATCATCAAACTGGAGACTATTCCTCTTGCGAATAAGTTTCATAATGTAAAAATTATAACAACCAATTTAATTCAATAAAGTCAACTGTAAATGGGGTTTTGGGGTTTTGGGGTTTTGGGGTTTTGGGG